GGATGTAACCTTCAATGTAAGTACATAGGTATGACGTCGACCAAGCTGACGAGGCGTTTGACATGCCATCTTCAATCTGGTGCCCCTAGGAATCACATGAGACAAGCCCATGACATTACTCTAACAAGAGAAATGTTGAACAAGAATACTTGCATAATAGACAAAACCCAAGATTCAAGAAGATTACAAATTCTTGAGGCAATTCACATAAGAAAAGAGCGACCTACCATGAACACCCAAATCACGGAACTATTTACTCTACCCACCATGAGAGTAAGGACAAGACAAGAACATATCGATGCCAACACAGAAGACAATGTCCAACATAACAGGCCAATTACACTGGATTAATCTTTGTGTTTAGATAGGAGATGCCTCGTATGGGCCAATACGCCTTCTGCAGCCCCTATGTTTATCCCTTATGTATCCCCCCATGTTTTTCACCTTTATTGTATTATCACCTGACCTAATGCGGGTATAAAATCAACTAGTATTGTAAGATCTGTTCACTTGAGAATGAACCATGCAGGTTCGAAACGTCGTGCAAATTATACAAATAAGTGTAATACACTCTATAGTAAATCACTTCTTTTCTTCACCTTAAAAGTACGGAAATGAGTTTTGGAGAACTCCTATTCCAATTAAGCCCTGATGCTAAGAAAATAGTTAGAGGGATAGAAGCCCTAAACCAGAAAATAATAAATACAGAATATGCGGTCATATTCAATGAAACATGTTTGAAAGAAAACCTGCTGCCAGTATACACCAAAATAAATAAATAAATAAATAAATAAATAAATAAATAGATAAATAAATAAATATATATATATATACATATATACATATATACATATATATATATATATATATATATATATATATATATATATATATATATATATATATATATATATATATATATATATATATATATATATATATATATATATATATATATATATATATATATATATATATATATATATATATATATATATGTCGTACCTAGTAGCCAGAATGCACTTCTGGGCCTACTATTCAAGGCCCGATTTGCCTCATAAGCCAAGTTTTCCTGAATTATTATATTTTCTCTAATTTTTTTCTTATGAAATGATAAAGCTCCCCATTTCATTATATATGAGGTAATTTTTTTTTATTGGAGTTAAAAATAACGTAGATATTTGACCGAACCTAACCAACCCTACCTAACCTAACCTAACCTATCTCTGTAGGTTAGGTTCGGTTAGGTAGCCGAAAAAGTTAGGTTAGGTTAGGTTAGGTAGGTTAGGTAGTCGAAAAACAATTAATTCATGAAAACTTGGCTTATTAGGCAAATTGGGCCTTGCATAGTAGGCTGAGAAGTGCGTTCTGGCTACTAGGTACGACATATATATATATATATATATATATATATATATATATATATATATATATATATATATATATATATATATATATATATATATATATATATATATATATATATATATATATATACACACACATACATATACATATATATATATATATATATATATATATACATATATATATATACATATATATATATACATATATATATATACATATATATATATACATATATATATATATACATATATATATATACATATATATATATATACATATATATATATACATATATATATATACATATATATATATACATATATATATATATACATATATATATATATACATATATATATATACATATATATATATACATATATATATATACATATATATATATATATATATATATATATATAGGCCTACAATGTAGTATGTTCATTTATATAACATGTGACCTGGACCTGGTACAGCTTAAGAGAAGTGTCTTGTAACACACTCCTTACCTCCAATTTTTATTACCACCCAGTTTTTACACAAACGATGTAAACATGGTTATAAAACATTTATATGAATGTAATGTACTTCTACTTGTAATGTACTCTTTTTGGACATTCACTCCAAATGTCCTAAACTTTCAAAAAATGCACTTTCAATGTCCAAAATGCACTTTCCTCGATTCATTTCAGCTATACAGTTTTGACACACATTTCTTCCTACCTTCTTCAGTTATTGACCAACAATTAATTAAATTTGTGACTTGAATGCCCAAGACAAAAATATATAATATTTAGTATTAGTACCCCTCAATGCAATTTCCTGTATACTCAACAACCGATTTCTTCTGCAACATCTTTACAATACTTGTGTTCATACAATGCACGCCCTGCAACTTTTCTGCCATACTATGCGAGTGTGTGTTTACCTAACTGTGTCCATAGAAAGCTAAATCTGCATGCATGTGGTCACTTAAGTTTGGTTAGGAGGGAAGAGCTATGTTTAGTTTAACCTATTTTCTTTATCATAATTACCTATAAAGTATCCAGTGATTCTCTTGTAAACTGTTCAGCCTACTGCATTAGTTCATTTACCACTACTTGAGTTAATTTTCACAAGTTATTACATTGTACAAATTACAAAACCATAAATTAAATACAGTAGAACTTACTTGAGATAGTGATAGACACAGGCATCAATTACTCTGTATGGTAATGCATATTTTTTGTCGAAGAAAATTCTCAAAAAAATGGAATTTGGTCCTGTGTAATCCATCTCGGCAATCTTGAGGATGGCTGCAGCTGAATGAAGTATTGGTATGTGGTTCTTAGCCAGAACAGAACCCACTATCACAGCCTCACGCAGAGTACAGTTGCCAGACTAGAAGTACATAAATGACCTTAATGTTAGCACTGTGTACACTTACAATTACCCTACAGTGCTAATTATAGCTCTAATATGCAAGATTTTTGTCAGGTGTATGACATGAAATTTAAACTGAAAGTTCCTAAGATTCTAGAAATTAAGTGCAAAAGACAATACTTCTGACCAATTACTAAGTAACTTTAAAAATTAGAAAGACAGTGGCCATCCAATGGAAGAATTAAAAACTAGTTAGTGTCCAATACAAGAGAAGAATGGGTGGACTGCATCTTCCTAGCCTGCCAAATGCTTTTGACACTGTCCCCAATAAAAGACTGAATTGAAAGTTAGATAATCAAGATGGGATAACTGAGAAGATACTGCACTGCACAGACTATCTTAACAAACAGGAAGCACAATTATAGTGAGAGAAAAAGCACCATGGTGGAGGTATGCAGTAAATGTGGTCCTATAGAGTTTGGGACTCTTAGACTACACTATTTCTCCAGGAGGTGGTAGGATCATGCATGATAATGCTAAACTGATGAGAAGGGTAATTATTGAAGACTGCACGATACTTTAGGAGGACCTTGACAGGCTGCAGATATGGGTGGATAAATGGCTTCTCAAATTAAAAATCTCAACAAATGTAAAGTAATGAGGTCTGGAAGAGTGGAAAAAGAGGCCAAAGAACAATGCAATATATAAATTACAAGAACCAAAACAGGAAAAATGATCTTAGTGTAGATATAACAAGTCTCAGCATCTCATTTAGGAATCTAAACAAGGAGGTTTTCAAGTTCATACACACTGCCCACTGCCCTTGTGAAACCATTGCTTAAGTATGCAGAACAAGCATGGAACCCACACCTTGTGAAGCATGAACAGAACTCTTTCTCAGGTTCTCTGAATCTGAGAAAGTTCAGAGGAATGCAACTAGATTATAACCAGAACTGAGAGGTTTCAGCTATGAGGAAAGGTTGAGAGAGCTAACCCCTCAAGTTCAAGTTCAAGTATGTTTATTGAGATAAGCAAGAAATACATCTCAAAGGGATAGAGTAGCTTAGGCTATTTCTACCCCCCTTTCACATTCTTAAGAGAAGAAACAGAGGGGATATGATAACAACATACAAGATTTTCGGAGGAACAGATAAAGTGGACAAAGGAAGCCTATTTAAATTAAAAAATAGTAGTGTTAGGATACATCAGTGGAAGTTAGTTATGTAAATGGGTTTAAGAGAGGTAAGGAAGTTCTCGTTTCATCGGCAAATGGAAGGCATTGAAGAGGTTCTTGAAGCCAATTCCATCCACACTTTTAAAGAAAAAATATGATGATAATGTTAATGATGAGTGGGGTAATTAGCACATGAGGTATAAACAGCTAGGAGGTGGGACATAAAGAGCTAGATCTCACCTATCAGTGCCTATAGAGGGGTAAGCATCTGAGGCACACAAACTGAACAACAACAGCAGCATATGAAAAACTGGTGAATATAAGGACAGCACTTAAAAAAAAAATACATATATTATACACACAGGAAGCATTAGAGTATGCTGATGTTGCATACTCTAGTGCATCATGTTCCACTGATGTTGTACAATATGCAACATCAACATGGAACTCCCACTTGGTAAACAAAAGAAAATTGAGAAAGTTCAAGAGATATACAGTACCATAAGATTAGTAAGAGAGCAAAGTAATGAGATATAAGAACAGGCAAAGAGAAACCAAGTGTAACCACACTAGATGGAAAAAGCCTGAGATGATATAATAATGTATAATAATATAAAGTAAGGAATAGACAGTGATAAAAGATAGTCTTTTCCAGATAAGGGAGTACAGTTGGAGTTACAAAAACAGATGAGCCAGGGATGACAACAACTTGTACACAGTGATGTTGGTAAACAAGTGGAATGAGCTCAAGGAAGAAATGATGGAAGCGATCTCCATTCACAACTTCCAGAGCAAGTACGACAGAGTATTGTATTGGAACATCAGAAGATATAAATCCACCAGGGACAATAACTAAGGGATGGCTCTACAACTACATCTCCTCTCCATACACACAACTAGGTACGCACAATATATGTCCAAATCCCATATTGTTAGATGAAATGCATACATAATTTCAATGCAGTTTTACGAAATGTTAGAAACTCTTTAGTTGCTAGAATACAACAAAACTGCATTGAAATACACCTTTCAGCCAACAGCTACTATATCTTGAGGTTATCTCGAGATGATTTCGGGGCTTTAAGTGTCCCCGCGGCCCGGTCCTCGACCAGGCACCCCCAGGAAGCAGCCCGTGACAGCTGACAAACACCCAGGTACCTATTTTACTGCTAGGTAACAGGGGCCATAGGGTGAAAGAAACTCTGCCCATTGTTTCTCGCTGGCGCCTGGGATCGAACCCAGGACCACAGGATCACAAGTCCAGCCTGCTGTCCTCTCGGCCGACCGGCTCCCATATATGATATGTATATATATATGAAGGTTGATCCAGCAGTGACCAGGGGCATTACATTGCTGCGGCACTAGTAACACAATAAACCATACCACTAGTGCCAATATACAGCACTTCAAGTGTAACAATGAGGTGCTCTAAGATAATGCCCTGAAAAATTAAGAAGTAAAAACAATTTTTTTTTTCTTCAGATCAACTGGAAAAAGCCACTTACCATACATAAGGGCAACAAGACACCCTTGAAGAAAGCAGCAGGTTTAAAAAGGGCCTTACACAATGCTTGATAAAGATGGTAGTTGAGCCGTTTGTAGAAAGAAATATCATCACGAACACGTGGTAAGAGAACCAGGTTAAAAAAACGTTGGGCCATGGCTTCTTTAAGGTTGCTGACAAATATCCTAACAGCTTGGTACATTGCAGCAGCTGACCACTTATCTGGATCTGGAAAAACATTGAAAGGAAAACTTGTTAAAACCTTGCAATGAAAACAATGAAGCAGCAGGTTACTTATCTGGATATGTATAACAACATAGGACTAATCTATTAAGACTATATACAGTACTGAATTGAGTAGTGAAGTGTCTATCAATAACAACAACAACAACCTGTGCCCAGCCTTGAGATCCACAGTTAGGAGGCAAGTCACAAGTCAGTTCTATAAATGGCCACCAAATGAAAGTTTCAATATATTATACAAATATTTGTATATCAGCACTTTAAAGCCAAATCAATAAAAAGAGACATTTTCAAGAAAATGTCCAGAAACCTCGCAGCAGAAAAATAAATCAACCAAATTTTACAAATTACCAGATATTGTATATATTGTACTTTACAAAATATAAAATGAATAAGTGATAATAGCCATGACTTCAAGCACTAACACTTGGTTTACTGCATACCATTTTGCTAGCAGATGTGTGACAGATTTGTCTTACACCAGACAGGGAGCCGGTCGGCCGAGCGGACAGCACGCTGGACTTGTGATCCTGTGGTCCTGGGTTCGATCCCAGGCGCCGGCGAGAAACAATGGGCAGAGTTTCTTTCACCCTATGCCCCTGTTACCTAGCAGTAAAATAGGTACCTGGGTGTTAGTCAGCTGTCACGGGCTGCTTCCTGGGGGTGGAGGCCTGGTCGAGGACCAGGCCGCGGGGACACTAAAGCCCCGAAATCATCTCAAGATAACCTCAAGAAGAAGATAACCATAGCCCATGCTACTTGATACTTGTTTCGAGTAGCTGAATCTATAACACCAACAACAACAACGTTATCGTCACTAAGCAGGCGACTCTGGTAAACTGAGGTAGGTTGGCCCATGCCACCAGGAACCATGCGCTCGGTCGACCCGAACGTGTATCAACAAATATCGTTAGTCAACGACACGATCATAAGTCGAGTCGCATTTTTCGACCAAATTTACATTGTAACTCAAAAATATGTAAGTTGGGGCAATCGTAAGTCGAGGCGTCACTGTATCAGATTTCATCCTAATCCCATTAGACTTTAAAACAGCCATAGACATCATTCCAATGTACTCTGCACCAGGCCCAGACTCCTGGAATTCTATATTGATCAAGAAAACCACTGACAAAGGCCCTGAGTATGGGTACAGTGGTACCTCGGAATGCGAGTGTCCCTGTATGCGAGTTTTTCGGAAGACGAGCAGGATTTACTCCAAAAATATGTCTCGGAAGGCGAGGGTTACCTCGGGACGCGAGTTTGTTGATACGTGTACAGGCCGACTGGCGCGTGGTGGCATGGCGATCGCGCCTCAGTTTACCAGTGTCTCGTGTCCAGTGACTATCCCACCTGAATTCTTCACAAGGATTTACAGTTTTTTATCGGTTTTTTGGCCATTTGAGCATAAAAGTTGTCATTATATATCTTGCCATGGGTCTCAAGAAAGCCATTGGTAAGGTTCAACCTAAGAAAATAGCTGTGAGTAGAGGCAGTAGAGGATGTCCCTTCTTGATTAAGAAAATGTGTGAAGTATGGGAAGAACTGCAAAGTTTTGTTGAAAAAACTCACCCAGATAAAGCTGTAGCAGGCCGTTGCATTGACCTTTTAAATGATAATGTGATGTCTTACTACAGACAAGTGTTAAAATGTAGGGAAAAACAAGTGTCATTAGACAAATTCTTAGTAAAACAAGCAAGTCCTAGTGGTATGCAGGCAAAATGTGCCAGAGTGTGCATACCAGTGAAGTCCTCACTGCCTGATGTGATAATGGAAGGGGACTCCCCTTCCAAACAGTAACTCCTCTCTTCCTCCCACCTCCTCACCATCTTCCATACGCCTACAGCATTCAACAGCAAGGTAAGTAATAACTTGAACATAGTTTTGTAGGTTTATTTAGATGAATTAGGTATAAAAATTTAGTTTGATGTGGGGTTTTTGGGGTAGTCAGGAACGGATTAATTCATTTCCCTTTATTTCTTATGGGGAAATTAGCTTCGGAATGCGAGTTTTCGGAATACGAGGCGTCTCCAGGAACCAATTAAACTCTTAAACTGAGGTATGCCTGTGTGTAACATTGCTTTTTTGAATCATACTCACCCTCAATTAACTTGAGGGTCTGCCAAATAATATTTTATTTATTTTAGGATGTTTAAATTTATGTAATGTTGCCTTGATGTGGTTCACATTGTGGACACATTGATGTGGTTCCAATAATATCCCCCATGGCCTACTCTCTGACCATAGGGAGAGTATCAGCCATCAACCTCCTAGTTGATGGTCTTGTCAACCAGGCTGTTAGATGCTGCTACACACAGTCTGAATCTACTTGAGCATGGTTGCTCAAGTAGAGATGGTAACGAAACACTTGGGTCAAGAGCCAGCAAGGAAACTTTGCATTAGTAACCAGCGTTGAATGTAATGAAACGCCATTTTCTGGGCAAGACCTGAAGGCTTCCCGAAGCTATTCGGGCTGATTTGAATGTATTAAACCCTGGCATCAAAGCAAATGGTGTTCTAGGCCTACCGGGGACCACAAGCCAGAACCTGGCCCCCTCAAAGGCATGAGGAGCAATGGCCTATAGAAACCTGGGTGACTGGAAACATTCTGTCTCCCATCGACCGGGTCAGGCACCCAGAAAAGTAGGTGCCCAAAAACAGACCCTATCTAGTTAAAAAAAATTGCTACTGAAAGTTTAAGTGTTAGGCAGAACTTCCCAAACTAAAAACGAGAATGACGTCACAACCGTCACCGCACTGCTGTCTGCACAGCTCCCCCCTCCCCGGGAGGGGGAAGGGAGAGCTCCAGACCCCCCATGCCGGCTATCCACCCCCAGTTCGGGGGCTTGATGTCAAAACACGCGAAAACCGCCGACCATAGGGAGGGAGGGTTGCCGTGGGGCCGCAGGGTCTCATCCAGATAATGACATTTCATTACATTCAATGCTGGTTTTCTGGGGAAAGCCCTGTCTGCTCCCTGGAGCTACTTAACCAAAGATAAAACAAGAGGGACTTACCCCGGGAGGGGATTGCCACTCGCTCCTCAACTCGAAAACAATTTGAGAAAACTGGCTGCAACCGCCGACCCTATGCGACACATGACACCTAGGGCCAGGAACATTGATAGGTAATGAGTGGCCAGGACCCTATTCGACCTCCAAAACTCCCGTGCCCAAATGTCAGCCCAAGACATATTACCAAAGATGGCAGCCAACGCAGCAAACTTACGAATGTCATGGGCACGAGGATAGACTGCAGGCTGGCTGGACCGAATAACCCTGCAGATGACCTGGTAGACCCGAACCCTGGAACAGGGAAGGGAAACCGGTTCAACCCAAAGTATGTCCCCGGTGCCGAGGCTGTGGTGAGCAGGTAATGGCAAAGAGTCACAACCAGACAACACATGATGCATCCCCGGATGAACCAACCATCAACCCAAAGACCCCTCCGGAAAATAGCAGTCTCATTCTTCACCAGAAAAGAAGAAGATGGCTGCAAATGAACAAACCAACCACCAGGACCATAAGAGCAGAAACCTCTGCACCGGAGGAGAGCATGAAGCTCCCCAACCCAACCCCCAGAGGCGAATGCCAACAGCAAAAATAGCCTTCAAAAAACAATTTTGAACTGAAGGGGCCACAACAAACCGAGAAGAGAGAAAAGACAGCAACCGTTCCAACGAACAGGACAGCTCAGGCGGGGCATGAGCAAGTAACCAACCTAGTGTGCAACAGCAACCTAAACTTATCTTACAACGTGCGAGCTGCCTGCACCCGAATATTATCATCATCAGATTGTGTGAAATGAGTCACATACAGGCAACAAAGCTCGCAGGACCCTGGATCGGGTCCTGCGTCGAAAACAATTTGTGTCGCACTGAGACAAGGGAACAGAGCAACCCTCAAATTAGCACAAAGCGAGAGGAGACTCAGGGGTCACATCCACTGGACCCGAGTGCCCCCGCGGGGTTTCCCAGGGCCTCTAGACTGGGTCTGCTGAGGGTTATCCGAGACAGGGTACTGCTAACCGGCACCCAAGCTACCAACCAACACTGCTAAAGCTGAACCCTCGGGACGTGTCCACTCATGAGGCAAAGCAGGGGGGGTGGGTACAACCAAACACAAACAACCCTAATATAAAGGGGGAGGGACACCAAGGCAGACCCCCCCCCCTGCCAGGCAAAAAGAAAAGAAAAATCTCGCAAGAGGACAGCGTACCCAGAGGGAACAGAGCCGGCCCCTGTTATAGGTGAAAACTAGCTACCCCTACCAGTGCACAAACTACCACTTACTCCAAGGCAAACAAAGGGAGGAATCCCCCAAAACACTCAGGGCGGTCAATCCCCAAGCAGCGAAAGACCAACAGAGGTAGATGCAAGTGACTTGTGGAAGGTAACCCGAAGCCCTTAGGGCGGTACTTACAGTGAACTTAGGAAAGGGAGCCCTAAGCGCATGCAGCCTGAGTACCCAGGCACAGCACAAAGAGAATTTGGAGCTGGAGCCACAAAAACCAAGCCTTATCCCATCAGCCGAGGAATTTAGGTGTGGATCGCCGGTGCAGGGGTCTGGAGCTGTGCAGACATGCAGTGCGGCTCGTGTGATGTCATGCTTGTTTGCTCGTTTTCCCTTGGGGAATTCTGTCCACTTGTTTCATTATTTTCGTTGGTTTCACCAGAATAGGGGTTTGTTTTGAAGCACTACCTTTCTGGGTGCCTGTCCCGGTCGATGGCAGATATAGAATGCTCCATAATCACATGTGCATTTCTATAGGCCACTGCTCCTCGTGCCTCAGAGGGGGCCAGGTTCTGGCCGTGGTCCCTGGTAGACCTAGAACTCCACCCACATCGACTGATGCCAAAAGTAAGGACAATCCCTATCAGCCTAGATAGCTCCGGGAAGCCGTAGGGGCTCCTTCCATAAAAAATAGACAAATTATTCGTAATCACCGGGTGAAAGTGACATAACATGACAAATCCATAAGTTATCCATGCTGGGAGACATAATAAATAAGCTGCAAAACTTACTACTGGCATCCACTTGTGTCTTTATTTCAGTCTGCTTTTCTGTGATTTTGTCTCTAAACAAGTCTGCCAGCTTCCTCTGAGGCAGGGCATCCTTGTTCATGAAGTGTTCCAGAACCTTCTTGTCTTCCTCTGCCAAATTCTGAAATATGAGAACAGTTATTCAAGTCATTTTGATTATCTGATAATCTGGCTACCATCACACATTAAAAAATTTGAATGAATACAGGGCGCTGATTAACAATTCTACATGTCATACCTAGGTAAACCAAATTTTAAAAACCAAGCACTGAATGTGATGATATGGACTCTTCTGGCCAGCCTCGGTAGCTCTCTGGTGCAGTGGCTCTGGTACCATCTTGGTTATCTTGAGGTTATCTCGAGATGTTTTCCGGGCTTAGTGTCCCTGCAGCCAGGTCCTTGACCAGGCCTCCTTTTTGTTACACATCCTCAGGAAGCAGCCCGTAGCAGCTGTCTAACTCCCAGGTACCTATTTACTGCTAGGTGAACAGGCCATCAGGGTAAAAGAAACTATGCCCGTTTGCTTCCGCCTGCACCGGGGATCGAACCCGGAACCTTAGGACTACAAATCCCAAGCGCTGTCCACTCAGCTGTCAGGTCAGATCATCTTCTTGAGGTTATCTTGAGATGATTTTGGGGCTTAGCTCCCTGCAGCCAGGTCCTTGACCAGACCTACTTTTTGTTACACACCCCCAGGAAGCAGCCCGTAGCAGCTGTCTAACTCCCAGGTACCTATTAACTGCTAGGTAACAGGGGCATCAGGGGATGAAAGAAACTTTTTGCCCATTTGTCTCCGCCTCCACCGGGGATTGAACCCGGAACCTCAGGACTATGAATCCAAAATGCTGTCCACTCAGCTGTCAGGCGCCCTTGACCATGAAGACATCTACAAAACTATCAGGCCTCTGGTCTCATACAGGCCTAATGGACACCATGACAAGATTCTAGTGCTTAAAACACATGAATAAAGGAAACCACAGAAGGCCCAATACAAGACAGCTCTAATTCAAATCCACCTAAACTTATTTATATGCATGTCTAACTTATGCTTAAAACAATTAAGTGCTTTTAAGTTTATTATGTTACTTGGTAATTTGCTCCATAAATCAACCATCCTATTTCTAAACAAGCATTTACCTAGGTTTTTCCTGAATCTAAATGTATCCAATTTATATCCATTGTTTTCTGTTCTATTTTGTAATGATATATTTAACACCTTATTAATTAATTAATATCCCCCATTAGTATACCTCAACTGCTCCTGATTTATTCCTATCACGTTCCAAGGCCGTGATAGGAATCCGTCTTTGCTTTTAGAACCTGGGCAGATGTGTGCCCTAGATTCAAGGCTAGTATAATCTATAGTGGAGCAAAACTGAAGGAAGATTGGTCCCCAGCCCACATAGTGGTGGGCAGTGGAGACTTCACAATCCTGTACACCAGGTCTTATGAACCAGGGTGCTGTTGTTTTAGAGGGATGACTGGGTGTGTGTTGAGGTGTTTATCTATGGAGCGATATACAGTACTAGCATTTAATGTGACTGTATTATGAATGGACGAAAGTATTCTTTTCTAATACAGTATAGGGGTCAAACATTTTCCACTATAATATTCATCATATCCTCTGTTCTCATGCCTCCCCACCATGCAAGAGGAAAATGGTGTAACAACAATGACAATGAATGAATCAAGAAAAAGCTTTAAGTAACACTCACAAGTTCATCTTCAAACTCCTTAACAACTTTGTCAACATTCTGAGGCACCGCAGCATGTGTTTCATCAACTTCTTCGTCACTGCTTTCTTCACTCTCCCCATCTTTCCCCGACTTGGAGCTTAATTTGACTGCAGTTGGTCTATAATAAAAGTAAGGTTTTAAAGTGAATATAGACATTCCTTGTTTTAGAAAGACAATGAGATGCTCCCTATAGCAAGACCATTAAAAGTCCCATTAAACAGAATCATGAGTCAGGACAGTGAAAATACAGGTGTAAAAGAAATCTATTTAAACATCCCTGTCCAGTCAACAACTGGTGCTAGGAAGGCAGAGGAGAATGCTGAATTCAGTCAAAAGTCACTAGAAAAAGTTCAAATACCAAAACCTTTCCAAACCTTACTTGGCATATAAAGACTGCTAAACAGCACTCTCATAAACTGCCAGGTTGCCTGCATAGTCGCTACCATTGATCACCACCAGATGGCACCACTCACACCAACAACTGTCCCCCCCTAACTCGAACCCAATAACATTCTGACTAACAAAATTAATACAACTGCACACAAGAGAATTAGGGACTCAGGGGAAAAATGGTAATACAGTACTTTTTTTTTATTGGAAAGAAACATTTCAAACATTTAAACATTTCAAATTTAGCCAAATTTCTGAGTTACTGTATTTCATTTGGATGCACATATAGGTAGGTTGGTGATAGACAGGGAAGGAGAGAAGGGACCCCCCCCCAATAGCTCTGAGAATACACCTTTACAACAGTGTACCAGTGCGAGGTCTATGAAAAAAAAAAGATGTAGCATGAATCTTTTGACGAGCTTGGAGAAACAGATATAATGCAGCAACAGAACAGAGAATGATGTACCCAAGCACGAACAAACCAATCCCAAAGCTACCCTCCCTTTTGAAAAAAGCTCAGTTTTGGCCGAGAAGAAAGGAAAATGAAGGAGATGTAAAAGACTGTCTCCAAAAAGAGAGCCTTAAGCCGACCACAAAGAGAGCCTTAAGCCGACCACACAGTGGCATGAAACATGGGTAAGTAGGGAAAACATTTTTTGAGGGGTAAGGTCCTTGAATGATGATGGCAACCTGAAAACTACTCAGACAAAAAACTCAATATGCCAATCCTCCATGTTGCACCATGCAGAGGTTTGCTATACCCTGTACTGCTGTACCATAGCAAAAAAAAAAAAAAAGTGAGGAAGCAAAATAATAGCCGGTCGGCCGAGCGGACAGCACGCTGGACTTGTGATCCTGTGGTCCTGGGTTCAATCCCAGGTGCCGGCGAGAAATAATGGGCAGAGTTTCTTTCACCCTATGCCCCTGTTACCTAGCAGTAAAATAGGTACCTGGGTGTTAGTCAGCTGTCACGGGCTGCTTCCTGGGGGTGGAGGCCTGATCGAGGACCGGGCCGCGGGGACACTAAAAAGCCCCGAAATCATCTCAAGATAACCTCAAGAGAGCCATTGCTAAAAACAAGTCCCCAAACAATATGCTACCAATAAAGAGGCCTAGTTGCCAAGGCACAAGCTCTAAGTTAACACTGTCTAAACTGAAAACAATGATGGGTGAAAGAATATGTGACTGATGCAGAGAAAGTGAAAATAGCCATGAAAACTCTACTATTGTATGATGTGGAGTTAAACAAAATCAGAAGCACCCTTACACAAAGGAGAGAGTGCAATCTAACTTACACTTTGTACTACACAAATGCCCACGTACAGGACGAAAGGTGATGAACCACGTTTTGGTGCACCACACATAGAAGAACCGGTCAGTGACAGTATCATGAGACAAGTAATTTGTCTACATGTACACTAGAAGCATTTCACTAATGGCATAAATCCATTGTACAAAGAAACAAAAGCTTGTAAGAATATACACAAGCCACTTAACTGAATTCTGGTCCCCACCTGCCCACGTCTGACATAGGGACCATTTAGTAAAAAACACGAGCCACCTCAACTCGAGAGTACCATGTGTTGGTGCTGCCTCCTGGTGGCAGTTTTGTGTAGTCACCTTGTCAATTTACCAGTAGTTAATGAGAGTAATGCCTAGCAATCTCTCTCATGCCAAGTAACATTTGGAAAGACTGCAAGTTTATATGAATGTACTGGTATAATATGATAGTACGTGCTTGCAATAGATCATTCGGGCTGAATTGAGTAAAACTCAAATAATTCTAGCTCCAGTATGACCTGGTACAGACATTCCCAAAGATGCCTGCTGCAACAGTGCACAATGTTAACCTGTCTTGACTGAGCATGATCCTATCAATGGGATCAGTAGGACATTGTCTTTGGGAGTAATTGAATTGATTGCAAAATGCATATAAACTTTGGTTTATTCTCAGAATAAACTGACTGGATTATAAAAACCATCCTACAATACTAACACTACAGTCCTAACTTGACTCACACTGGGTGGTGTATTTTCATTAATCACTACTGGGAGGCTTGCTTTGATACACCTTTGAAAATTTGGTGAATGGATTGCAGACTAAACTGGGATCAGTCAGGAGGCCACTGAAACAAAACTCTATTCCAAATCTTGAACCCAAAGCAATCCCTGAGAGAAGGTGGAATGGGTATGGTCCAACACGCATCCTGCAGGTTTATGGACACAAGCTAGACATGAGAGGACTGCACTGCCAATGTGACCATCTGAAACTTCATAGGAGTATGCATCTGTTAGCTTTTTTTTTTATCAATCTTGCATCGTGTGTATTTAGAAGATCGCTTTTCCGGCAGGTATCAGAAGCTTCCTGGTGTATTGCCTCTGGTACCACTGGCAGTCACAAAACTACCAGGCCTCTGAACTTGCGTAGGCTTACCAAACACCAGGGTGAGAACTTTTTGTGCTCATAGTGGTGAGAGAAGCATGGAGATCAAAGATCAACCTCAAGACTGTAAAATCTAACCAAAAAAGTAAGGAAGGAAGGAAAACACACCACACTTTTTAATGAAAATAATGGAAATAAGGGATAGAAATAAGGGAAACAGTAGTGTGCCCAATGTCAACAAACCAAGAACTAGTATCCCAGTGCTCTACCAGATGGCAGCTTAGGTCTCCCCAGGGTTCTACCTGCTCACCTAGCTTACTCATGTGTTTTGTGCCAATCTGAGAACTCTTGTCTCTCAAGGACCCCTACTTTTTTCCGAGATAAGTGGGGTTAGCATTCATTGGTATTTGTGTCCCTGGAGGTAAAAGAAGGAATAAGACAAAATGCAAAACAGTGAAGATGAAACGGCAATGCCAAAAGACAGAAAGATAAGACAAGGTAACTGGGATCAACACCAAAGCTAAGTGGCAAAGAGAATGAAAATAATTGCAGTAGCCTAAGAGATCAACAAATGGCCAACGATAAAATTGAGTTAAGCCCAAGAATGCTGACACTTTGTTATTGTAAGCAAGAGAAAAGTGGGTGAAAGAGAATGACAGTTTTTAATGTGGGTGAAAATAAGTTTTTACCTTTTTGTGAATCTTGGACGTTGTGCACCCAAAGGTGGAAACTCCTCTTCCTCCATCTCTTCTTCCATTTCTTTAAGTTGAGCGACACTCTGCTTGAGGATGATCCTTCCAAGCTGTCCTTCAACATACTGCACGGTGGAAAACATTTATTAGTGAATCTAAGCTCACCAATTCGAATCGAATGGGGGAAGACCCACAATTAAAATCACACAAATATGAATTATCCAAATTTCTTACGAAGCATGTTAAATAAAATTAAATACATTTTTACATACAGTATACTGTACATTATTAGGGAGGGATCTTGATAAGAGATAAATAAAATGGAATAACAATAACAAACTTACCTTATTGGAGTTAACGTTTTCTAGAAATGAAGGACTTCAATTTTGTATATTTACCTACCTTGAAGTGCTTCCGGGGCTTAGCGTCCCCGCGGCCCGGTCGTCGACCTAGCCTAACCTAGCAAACTCTAAAATAACTGGCTGAAAGTCTGACTTCGTGATCTTACCAAATATGACTATTTTGGCATGTCTCCTTTTTCGTTCACATTTTCTGTGGAAAGTCCCATCGGCTCCCTGAAGCTATCCAAACTGACGTGTGCAATATTAGTTTGGGGTCATCAGTCATGGGAGGTCTTATTCCAATTGGAAACCATGAGCCTGGTCCCCTCAGAGGCACAGGGAGCAATGATATATGAGCATTCTACATTTAGAGTATATCATACTTGCCATCGACCGGGAAGGGCACCCAAAGATAGGCGGAACAAAATAGACCACTAGCTGGTTAAAATTGCAATCTATGTCTGAACAAAGCAAAATAACTCCCCCTCAAAAGAAAACAAATAAGCAACACGTCATCCAACTAGTGCACTCACTCATTAGTGCCTTCCCTGCCCCCCGAGGGGTGGGTGGGCAGGGGAAGCTGGCAGCTCACCCCTTCAGTTCTTGGATGATGAAAACCACCGACCGGAGGGATGGAGGGTGTCAGGAAGTCTCCAGGGTTTGCCCAGAAAATGGTGTTACATTACATTCAATGCTGGTTTTTTATGATCAGCTCATTTGTCCACCTAAATATAGATATAAGCTTATTTTTTTTTATTTGCACTGTTGGATTCGGAATTATTGAAGCAAGAGAAATTATATGGCAACTGAATTTTGTTGTCTTGGGTGTTTCGTCCACTCAACCTTCCTCAGCCTTCTCATCTTTCTCAGCATCTTCACCTCACCCCGCCTCACTGATAACAAATGGGAGAACTTCATCTTCACTCAGCACCTGGATCATTATCATGTTTTCTAGCCACTCAATAATACAGACCATACTGCCTTTTTCTTTATTGACACAGGCAGGTACAGGAATAGACAACTGGTGATTCCTGCTAGCAGGCTGAATGAAAGCTTTTCCATTCTATAGTTCATGGTAAGCCTAACCCACTAGCTTCCCTGGAATACAACCTCCCAATCAATTAACAACCAGGTGCCCAATCACTGCTGGGTGAACAGAGGTGTACAATTAAGGATTGGTGTCTGGTCAAGCCTCCCCAGCCAAAATACAAACCTAGGCCAAATTGCTGGTAAAGTGCGGGGGAAGTGTGTTATCACCGTGCCACCGTCGACTGCTTTCTAAATCCTCCCTTTATTAACTGGAACTCTTTGGATTTCTTCAATTTCTTCAATGAATTCTTCAAGGTTGGCTCATCACCCCCACTCCATATTTTTGCCAACTTACATATACTGTACTAAACATAACTTCATTAACCCTTTAACTGCGCAACGCGCCTGCAGGACCAGGCTTCAGGTGCGCAACGCGCCTCCGGGTGTTTTTATTTTTCACGTTCCATTCAAAACTCCCGCGGCTACATGGGGTTCACATCAGCTACCTCAGGGCTCTTGTAAACAGACGCCATCTTTAAAAAAAATCATGGTCCACATTGCCGGGTGCCAGAGCCTCAGTAGTGAGTGAGCAACCAAGGCTGGCGCTCGCAGCATGAGCACACAGCACTGCTGTTCAGTGTGTGACCACAGCATCGTCTAATATTGTCAAAATATATATATAATCTGTTTTATTTAGCCATGATAGTATTATAGAAGAGCCCGAGTGTGATAATGACTGGGTACAATGTTCAAATATCAGTGATTCAATGCTGTTCACGATGTTCACAGCGCTAGCCACAGCACCACAGCATTATTTCATCCATGTAGGAACCTTCAAACGACTTTTTAGGTTCCTTTTCAAAATAAACTTGTGGTCAATTATTCATTTACAGGTATTAGTGACCAGGATTGTGGTTATAATGAGCGTTGTGCGTAGGAAGGAGGAATTTTGGTGAGGGAGGGAGGAAGGGAGAGAATTGAGGTAGCCTCACTGTGTGGCAGTAACTCTTGTTTTGCTCACCATACTAGCTTCGTGGTTCGCTATGGGGAACACACATGTACATGGGTATATACAGTGTGTGTGGAATAGTGTACAGCACCAGGAGTATGTTGTGAGGAGCTATTTTGGTGAGGGAGGTGACGTCGTAATCGTGGCGTCGTCTGCTGTCTTCTGTGTGATTTGTCATGCAGTGTATGGTGGCCACTGTACTGTTTGGATACAATACCGGCTTACTTGCATAATTCTGGTAAATAAAACATGTAGATAGGTATATATAACATGTGTAAATTGTGTAATAAATACAATAACAGTATGGTGGGAGGAGCAATGTTGGCGAGTAAGATGGAGTGAGGGAGGGCTAGCTGGCTGGGTGTGGCTGCTCACACTCGCGGTGTTCTGAATGTGTTGATGGTGAATGTATATAGTGTGTGACAGTGTATATTCTGTAAATAGATTGTATATATACATAAATTAGCATGATACATGGTAAATATGTGTAACATATGTGTACACAAGTGTCATGCACTTAACAGTGTCTTCGGACAGTACGGATGTTTTACTACCATAATGTAGTGTACGTGTTCATTATACATAGGATTAGCATGGAAAAACAAATAAAATGTATTTGGAACTGTGCGCAAAAAATGTGCAAAAATATATTCGCAACAACTCTCGCGCCCCGCCCCAGGCACCCCACCGGCCCCGGGAGCATACTGCTCTGGCGCACAAGGAATTATGACGTCACGGGCCACCTTTCGAACCCCATAGCAGCCAAAGTAAGTACAATATCGAACTTGCGTTGCTATACCCATACACAGGGAGGGGTTTTTGACAGTTTCCGAAGAAAAAATAATTTTTTCCCAAGGTCTCATTTCCTGCACACTGGGGGGATGTCATATTTATAGGCCGTGCAGTTAGAGGGTTAATAGAATATTTTGACAAATTTTCAAGATTTTGTTATTCCTTCACCGAGAAAGCTTTTCATGACATAGATAAGAGAGATGAGAGAGTTGGTATTAGGTGAAAGTGCTGTACACATGTTATGTCAATACTGTACTGTACTGGGGCAAGCAACGGCTTATCAAACAATATGAAAGTCCGTACTTCACTTGGGCTCACTCCATGTGCCTCGATTTTGTTGTTTGTGAATTTCCTTGTCAAATACTTCATGAAACCAAGAAGAAAAATCTGCTGTGTAAAACATGCATTCTTTGAATTATAATATTATACAATGTATAGGCAGATTATTCAAAACATTTTTAGAAGATTTTGGCTTCTTAGACAGGGAGACAGGGACCACAGGAAACCCCCATCACCCATAATAAATGTACCTGGATGAGGTTCTACTCCCCAAGCCCAGCCCAGGGCCAGACCTGACTTGTGAGAACTTGGTCCAATAGGATGTTGCTTGGAGTGACCCACAGGCCCCCATATTCTTTAGAGCCCAATTCGTCTGGCACTTCTTGCAGAAAAGTGTCCAGTTTTTTCTTGAAGACGTTCACTTTTGTTCCGGCAATATTTCTTATACTTGCTGGGAGAATACTGAATAACTGTGGACCTCTGTTGTTCATACAGTGTTCTCTGTGCCTATGGCACTTCTGCTTTTCACTAGTACTTATTCTACATTTCCTTCTATATCATTTACTCCAGTATGCTGTTATTTTACTTACCTGCTTAATACCTACTTGATGGGGGTTCTGGGAGTTCTTCTACTCCCCAAGCCCGGCCCAAAGCCAGGCTCGACTTGTGAGAGCTTGGTCCACCAGGCTGTTGCTTGCAGCGGCCCACAGGTTACTATGTAAATTTGGGGCCTGGCCCTTCAATATTTTCCATGTCTTGTATATATTATTTGATACCTAACTCATCTCTTTCTAGAGAGCACATTTTGAGAGCTTTGAGATGATCCCAATAATTTAGGTGCTTTATCATGTCTGTGTGCCATATTTATTCTCCACATTCTCTCAATTTCAGCAATCTCTCCTGCTTCAAAGGGGAAAGTGAGTGTCGAGCAGTACTAAAGGTGGGACAGCACAAGTGGTTTGAGTAGTATGAGCATTGTGATAGGATCCCTGGATTTGAAGGTTCAGATAATCCATTCTATTATCTAGCTGATGCTGTATTTGCTTGCGTATGTTCCCTAATGGTCGAGTCGTCAGACATCATGTAATGTGGTAATTGGGAAGGTTGGCCAGGAAATAATGATGTACACTGTACAAAACCAAGAAAGTCGAGAACATATCACAGGCCCACCAAGACTCACACAAGGACTGGGAACTGCTGGGAACCCACCAAAGAGAGGTAGGGAACTCAACCAAGCCTGAGACCAACCACAATGCAATAACCACATGGAGCCAAAGGAAGCAGGACCCTTGACCCACCAAACCCAAACCAAAAGGGAAAGGGGAAAACAACACCACCAGAGAACCTGGGAAACAACCTAGAAAGCCCACAAACAGCAGTATCAAGAACTGGAAAAAATGAGCCAAAAGTCCCCCAAAGTGGCAATAAAGGGGGGGGGGTAACTACAAAGGTTACCCCTTTGAGTAAAGGTCATGTATGAAGACACTTTGAGCAAAGACCTCCCTCCGGGACACTGAAGAACAACATCGGCCAATAGAAGTACACGCCGGAGAAAATAACAACCCAGGCAGCATGCCCTCACTAGAGGCTGACCTGGACCAACAACTGTGAGGGCCTAACTCAGGACTGCTACCAAGCAGAAAGGGCAGAACCCTTCTGCAAAAGGACCTGACTGAAGGGTTAGAAGGCAGCAGTCGAAGTCAAAACGACTGAAGAAACAAGCCTCTACATAAAAGATACAAGGTACAAAATGGAAGATTTTGGAAGAAGTAGACAAAGGGGGGTCAAGGACCAAGCAAATCTAAACCTCGACCACCACGAGCTGCCGATACCCAAGGTGGGCAAGGAGAATGCCGATACGGAACCTTAAGGAGGGGGAAGTAGGCAACTAGGGCTGAGCCGCCCAAGTCAATCCTGTTGGCAAGAACATAGCCATACCAGGCACCGAAGTCAAACATACAGGCCAGTTGACCAGACCACACACTAGAAAAGCAGTCAACATACTTCAGCCACGTTATTGTGACTCATCGCCTGCATACAGGCCAGCTCAACAACCGCACAGATGCATAAAACGTTCATCCAGCGAGCATAAGCCCTGGTTGATGGGGTTCTGGGAGTTCTTCTACTCCCCAAGCCCGGCCCGAGGCCAGACTTGACCCGTGAGAGTTTGATCCACTAGGCTGTTGCTTGGAGCGGCCTGCAGGTCCACATACCCACCACAGCCCGGTTGGTCCGGTACTCCTTGAAGGAAACACCTGTGATCTTCTACAGTGGGAGCTCCAGAGAACAAAGGCAGCTGGATACGGAGCCATCACGTACTCACATCCTTGAGGAGAAGCAAAGCAAACGAGCAGTGCTCAACCAGCGCAAGAGAGGCACCACCCAAGAACACCTGAGAGACAGAACCCACTTCCCACCACCTAAGTGTCTGGTATTGGCAAAAGCCATCCCCAGGAAAACAGAGCTTGCAGCAAGCCAGGATGAATCAGGAACCTTATAACAGAAGGTAATGGCTGATCCAAACTCAATGGAGGCCAGGTCCAGAATGGAAGCAAGGTCCTGAAATCAAAGAATGAAATGATGGAAGTCTGCCCAGATCCAGAGAAGGAGCAAGATAAGACAATGGAAACCAACAGAAATAATATGTACCCTTGGAAATTAACAGGAGGAAGCAACCAAGGAATCCAGCTCAAACACAAACAGAGGAGAAGGAAAGCCCTCAGCACTGAGTGAAACACCTTCTACAGGCAGGAAAAGACCAGGAAGGGATGAAGGGCACCAAGTGACCCTTACCATGCTCCACCCTCACCCAAGCCCAAAAATTCAAAATGAAGACCTATTCCAAACATGTGATTATACAGTACAGTATAAGTTTGTGTTTATCAAACAAACCTACACATGGCCTACAGGGAGCTGGTCGGCCGAGCGGACAGCACGCGGGACTTGTGATCCTGTGGTCCTGGGTTCGATCCCAGGCGCCGGCGAGAAACAATGGGCAGAGTTTCTTTCACCCTATGCCCCTGTTACCTAACAGTAAAATAGGTACCTGGGTGTTAGTCAGCTGTCACAGGCTGCTTCCTGGGGGTGGAGGCCTGGTCGAGGACCGGGCCGCGGGGACACTAAAAAGCCCCGAAATCATCTCAAGATAACCTCAAGATAAGATGGCTACTCTGGCTGTGGCATATTTGCTCATGGTTACAACAAAGCCACACAAGAATTTTACCCATAAAAAACATTTTTGTTAACTAGATGTAATGCAACAAGACTTACTTCATCATCTCCATCCTTCCTCTCACTGCGAATTTTTGTGCGCCCAGTGGGTCGAGCGAGTTCATCACGTGTCAATTGTTCATCAAGTGGACATGGCCGCGACACTTTTCCTCCCAACTTTTTGAGTTTCTTGATTTTTCCCATCTTGAGTTCTTTATATTATCTTATCTGCAAATGAATACAACAACATTGTTAGTACAGTGTATAACCCTTAGGCTGCGATTATCATCTACTGTATTGCAGATCTCTAGGGTACTGCAGTAGGTCAATTCCCCACATACACTTGTGGATAGCAGAGTAGTTGAGTATGTTAAATTGTTGGGTAAAGGCTTCCTGCAACCATGTTTGAATTAACACAATGAATGAAAACCTGTAGGTTAGTGCTTGCTGTGGGACACATATCATAGTGCTTGTTTAGAGACCTTACATTTAAGTTAAGTAATGAAAAATTAATGTTGATTTGCTAATGTTTGTCATCCTGATTCAGGGTCTCACTGCGGTGAGGGAAGATGACTTTCGTGTCCGGCGTCATCACTCACTCTGATTCGTCTTAAAATATTAAACTTGTTAAAAATTTAAATTTTATCCGATCAATCTGGGAGTGGTTTCAAAATGAGCACCTTCAGTTTGTGCACAATTAGATACCAAAATGAAAGACTAACATGAAAATTGATGTCAGAACACTGGAAAGATATAAATAATTTTGTGGTGATGAGCGTCAAAAAGTGTCCAAAAAGTTAAAATATTTATTAAAATTCTATTTATTGTTCTATTATTATGGGACTAGTTTTAAAATACGCGCCTTTTTATTGCAAACAATTTGATACCAAACTGAAGGACGTAGCACAAAAATTTATGTTATCAAACTGAACGAGTATATACATTAGTCTGCAGGTGTGCCAATTGGTGCTCGTTCACGAGTAACTTGGCCGACTTTAGGCTCTGCTGTGGGACTCACTCTGGGCTTTTAGACCTTATATGCATATACCACAATAGAGAATTCTATTGCGAACACGATGATACCAAAACGAACGATGTAGCACGAGAAATAAGGTGAGAAAACTGAAACAAGTACTGTATATACATTTTATAGATTTTGCGCGCTCACTGGTAACTTTGCAGATTTTAGTCTTTATACTTTGTTATTGGTACTGCTTATACATATTGTGGTTGTTATTGCTTATATTTGTCTTTCTATTTAGAGCATTTTATTGCGAATAATTTGATACCACAATGAACAATGTTGCACAAAAACTTCTGTTAGCAAACTGTATGTGTTTGTCTGGTGTATTGAGTGTAGCGGGTGTGGCAATGAGTGTGCTCTCGGGTAAGGCTTCGATGACTTTAGGGGGTCGTTGCAGGTGAGGCGCGCCCATGTTGTCTAATTTATATGCATATGTTTGTGTAGGAAATTTTATTGCGATCACAGTGATACAAAAAAGAACGATGTCGAACAAGTTTGGACTTGATAAACCTGAAAAGAGTAGCAACATGTTTGCGCTGTTTGGCGTGAACGGCTAACAAACGACTTGGTTTTTTATTTGGTGCCGGCATCACGTTAGCTTTGGTGACATGTTATACATATGTTCCTCTAGAACATTTCATTGGCAACACATTGATACCAAAATAAAACTCGTACATCGAAAATGAAGGTCAGAAACATGAAAAAGAAAAAGAGTATAAACTTTTCAGTAGTTGTGTAGCCGATGTGCAGTTGGGCGTGTGGTAACGGGTAACCCTTGGGCAACTTCCCACGGTCTTGCGGGTGGGACGCGCCCATGATTTGTACTTTATATTCATATGTCCGTGTAGGGAATTTTATTGCGATCACAGTGTTACCAAAATTAACGACATAGACCAATTCTGGGGTTGACAAACCTGAAAAGAGCATGAACATTTCATCACAGTTTGGCGCTCACGGCTAACGATCGCCATAGTTTTTTATTTGGTGCGGGTCTCACGTCGGCTTTGGAGAAATTTTATAGATATATTCCTCTAGAGCATTCTCTTGCGAACAAAATGATACCAAACTTAAATACAGACATGGAAACTTAAGGTGAGCAGACCGAAGTGTATAAACATATGTGTCGCTGCACGGGCGCCTGAAACGAACAGCGCACAAGGGGAAAGTTACCCAGGGTACTCTCGGGCGTGCAAAAGTGTTAACACGTTGCCACTATTACGCAATGCGTTTCGGGCAGGAGGTGAGGTCGGGCTTGAGGCGAGGGTTCCTACCGTCACTGGTAGTGGTGATATATGGGCGCCTGGAGCCACTGGTAGTTGTGATATATGGGCGCCTGGGGTCACTGGTGGTGTAGATATATGGGTGCTTGGAGCCACTACTCTCAACATGTGCTGCTCACTCCTGCTTCCTTCCACTAAATACGTCTCGTATAAAATAACACAACTATATCAAATTGTAACACGAAATCCAATTTTTGAGTGTAATTAAATAATAAAATAATTGCAATATAAATTTTGTCCAATAATATTACAAAAATACAAAAATAATAGAGCAATAAGAAATAAATAGTATCTAGTATGTAGTACATAAATAAGAAAAATAATGTAAACATCTAAACAAATGATTGAAGGTAAGCGCAGTATAGAGATTTGTCTTAAGCGCATCTGCAGGTTTTGTACATGTAAATGGCACAAGAGAATGTGTGGAGTGTGTTTATGTTTAGCATTGTAGCGAGTAGATTATCCCAATAATATACTCGCTCCAAATGCATTGTTAATATTCCTGTCAACCTTTGGAGATGAATGAAGTGAGGCGTTGCCCGGGCAACACGGTGAGGTGTTGCCCGAGCATATAAGCAGCAGAATCTGTAGCGAGTAGATCGGGAGACATCTCCCGTCACGCAGGGTGCAGTCGCACCTCCACAGATCTCCAGTATCAGCTCTTGATACTGGTGATGGCTCAAAGGGGCCACCACTTACGGGCTATTCATGCCCGTGCCACCTTTTGGGTGGCTTCATCTTCATCTTAACACATTCACAAAGGAGACATCTCCCGTCATGCAGGGTGCATTCGCACCTCCACAGATCTCCAGTATCAGCTCTTGATACTGGTAATGGCTCAAAAGGGCCACCACTTACGGGCTATTCATGCCCGTGCCACCTTTTGGGTGGCTTAATCTTCATCAATCAATCAATCAGCGAGTAGATTATCCCAATAATATACCTGCTCCAGCATGTTTTGGGATTCAAACGGGGGAGCTGAGTGTTGTCTGAAAGCAGAGTTTGTTATTGTTCTGATAGCAGCTTTGTGCTGGGTGATGATGGGCTTGAGGTAGTTTGCAGAGGTTGAACCCCATGCACAGATACAAATACAAATATTTATTCAGGTAAAGTACATACATTCAAAGTGAAATACAAAAGTTGATGGATTTATAGATAGAGCTAGTACATACAATGCCTAAAGCCACTCTTACGCAAAGCGTTTCGGGCAGGAAAAACACTAAGACTAAAACTTAATACTAACTTAGATTAAAGTATAAATTGTGTTGAGAAAAAATCAGAAAAAAATGAAAAAAGGGGGGGGGGAACATGGCAGAAAAAAAGCAAAAATACAATTTGGTCAACAAACAGCATTGTTTGTTAAAACATGGTTTTATAAATGGCCGTTCATGTTTAACAAATTTGTTATCTTTTTATTCTAGCATTGTTGAGGCAGTTGATAGTGGTAAGGATTGCGATGTTGTGTACCTTGACTTTAGCAAAGCTTTTGATACAGTGCCACATGAAAGACTGATTAAAAAGTTAGAGTCTCATGGTATTGGGGGTGCTATATTAAGCTGGATTAGGGCATGGCTATACCAAAGGAAACAGAGAGTTAGTATAAATGGAGTCAAGTCAGAGTGGGAAAATGTTGTAAGTGGGGTGCCTCAGGGCTCTGTCCTGGGACCTCTGTTGTTTATAATATATATAAATGATTTAGATTCAGGTTTGAGTAGCAACATTTGCAAATTTGCCGATGATACGAAAATCGGTAGGGAAATTAATTCGGAGGAGGACTCACTATCACTTCAAGTTGATCTAGATAGGGTTTTGAAATGGTCGAAGGATTGGCAGATGCAGTTTAATGCTGATAAATGTAAAGTTCTGAGGTTAGGTAATAATGATAGGGTCACAAGATACGAGCTAGATGGTGTTGAGATTGCGAAGTCGAATTGCGAAAGGGATCTGGGAGTTATAATATATGACTAGCAAGTATTTAAAACAAAAGGATCAATGCATAAATGTTCGTAATAAGGCAAATCGGACACTTGGATTTATTAATCGCAGCGTTAGTAACAAGACACCTGGTGTGGTTCTCAAGCTATATCTTGCTCTAGTTAGGCCACATTTAGATTATGCAGTTCAGCTTTGGTCGCCATATTATAGAATGGATATAAATTCACTTGAACGTGTCCAGCGTAGGATGACTAAGTTAATTCCCCAAATTAGAAATCTTTCATATGAAGAAAGATTAACAAAGCTTAAGTTGCATTCACTGGAAAGGCGAAAAATTAGGGGTGACATGATAGAGGTTTACAAGTGGGTGAATGGACATAACAAAGGGGACATTAATAGGGTATTAAAAGTATCAACACAAGACAGAACACGAAACAATGGGTATAAATTGGATAAGTTTAGATTTAGGAAAGACTTGGGTCTTTATGTCGGCCCTATGTCATTTCCGCCCCCCCCCCCCCCCAGCCGTGCGGGCTCGCCTGTGGGAAACGTCCCCTTGGTTCCTCCTACGTCTGCTTATCTGTTAAATTTGTTATGGTTGGACTCGCAATTATGATTTGTATTTATTACGAAAATTTTTCCCCACAATTTACACTTTGATTAATTTTCACGTTCAATTTGTTATATTAAGGGACTTTCAATTAGGATTTGTATTAATCTATTGCTTTGCCTCTGTGCCATTAAGTTAATTTCAGCTAGGATACGCTAGTTGCAGTGCATTCGGGTGGGGTCCCCCCCCCCTTACTTTTTTTTTTCCTCCGGTTATTTCGTCCTATTACACTCGTTTCCCTCTTTATATATTCTAAATATTGCGCATTATATTTGCCCACCCTTTCTTCATCGTATCGACAGTCCATTAAGATACATTTGGAATGCTACCGAGTTTAGCATGGCCGCGCACGGTGTCATGCAAAAACTGGCCATTCGGCCTTCCTTTCGGCAAGCTCAAGCCAGTCAGTTAGCATGATGACGGCCAGCATGTTGTTGGCCAGCAGCAGACAGCATGTTGTTGGCCAGCAGCAGCCAGCATGCTGTTGGCCATACGGTCGCTAACGTTCCTTGGCCATCCAGCCTTCTGGGCTATTTTACTCTTCTTGTTCCTTCGCCATTGTTGTTTCCTACTACGTAATAGTATTCTATTTAATTTTCCCTCATCTATCATTAGGTTAGGGGCCTTACCTCCAACCGCTATTCCTTCCCCTGCGCTCTGCCCGCTTGGCGCACAACGCCGGCTTCTTCTGTCCCCTTTTTTCGCAGCCACGACAAGCCGGAACCCCCCCCCCCCCTCCTCACCCTACTGCGGCGAGGAAGAGAACGCGAGCCGGATATTCCTCTGATCACCATTACAACGCACGCAGCGGTGCCGGGATGCAGCCGCCCAGGGCCTACGTTAATACTATTATCTTCCCTTTATTTGCTGGGCTATATGGTAGTATTAATATTATTCCGTATCGTTACTGTCATTCCAGTATTATTTTATTAAAAATATAAATTGTTATTATGGTTTGGCGTTGCTTTCTTAATTTCTTCCATTCTGCGGCACTTGCCGTCATCGGTTATTTACGATATTACATTGTATTCTTCATTGTACGATTATTTACGACATTGTATTCTTATTATTATCCTTATTACAGTTACTGAATGGCAGTTCCCTGCCGTCGATTTCACTTTGCTCCTGTTCTAAAGATGTAGCCGAAGTTCACGGCGTACTAGCTGCGGCTCGCAGACGCTCATTGACAACACAAGACTACACTCAGCGGCCACTTAAGGCAGACTCCTTGGCTTCTATCCAGCCCAATCACCCGCCTGGAGGCAGAGATGGGATAGAGACCAAGGGTAATGTTCCCCGCTCACATTCTACATCCGCTTAGGACACAAGCATGTTATAGATTTGGCTTTAAGAATTGGTTCTTATTCCATTTTATTGTTTATGTATATATTGCTTAGTTGTATATACCCGTTCTTGGTACATGTATTGTTTATATTCAAGATTTATAGTGTTTCGTATTACCCCTGTTATAGTTGCTTTGTGCTTCCTTGCTGTTCTCCTACTGGCTTTCTCCCACCTTTGCTCTTAGCAAAGGTACTCCCCCCTTCCGTTTGCTGGAAGATTCTTAGAATTGTTAGCCCCCTTCATTGCTACAGTATAATTATTCGGAAAACTCTTTATTCATCCAGGATTGTTAATTAAGGATTCTCTTAATTCCTGCCGCCGGGCTCCCTCCCCACGTTTTCGTCTCCGTATTGATTCAGCTAGGGTTTCCCTCTCGTCTGTGCTCTTGCCTGTCACGATAACACTGCATGCCGCTTCTGCCCACCCTTACTGCCTTATATCTTTCAGCCCGCGGGAGGTGAGCTACGCGACAAAAAATCGACGCACGCTCCGACTGGACCAGGTATCGCTTACATGGTCAGGAATCAACACTCTTCGGATCCTACAAGCACAGATCCTACCCTTGCCCTTCGATGCTGCACCTTCGACTCTGGGGAACTTCCTGCAATCCCTGCTCTCGCGGGGCCTGGCTTACCGCTCTCTGCACGCCTATCTAGCAGCCATCGCCTTCGTCTGCAAGCTACACGGTAGGAGGGACCCAACTCGGCAGTTCCTGGTCACCCAACTCCTCAATGGGGCACGTAACTCCGCACGGCGTCTCCCTGTGACGAGGAGCCTCCTGCATCGCCTGCTGCGGGCACTGGGAGGCGTATGTAACTCTGCCTATGAGAAGTCGTGCTACAGGGCGCTCTTCTCCCTGGCTTTCCACGCCTGCCTACGCCCGGGTGAGGCGGTCTACGTGGACCATGGACGACACACGCTCAACCTTGAGCAGGTATCACTTACGACGGCAGGAATAGATATCGTCTTCAACACCTACAAGCACAGTGCAGGGCGCACGCCCACCCTCTCCCTGAGAGCGAACCCTTCCAGCAAGTACCGGGGGGGTCCGGCCGCTGGCCTGCGGTGGGGGTGCAGCGCCGGTCCCCAAGTGTCCCGCTGTCCGCAGCTATTACTTTGCCCAGTCTGGGTGCTAGTAAGCCCTACTTGTAGTCAACCCCTTCTCCTTATTCATTAGGTCTTACCGGCCTCTTGGTCGGGTACATTATGTGTTATGTGGTCTCTCACTTATTAGTTACTCTTTGTGTCCTGCCT